TGTCAGAGGCGGGACTTATGTTAAAACCAACTATTAGGTATTTTTTTTGCAGAAGGCTGCTACCTTTTTTTTTTACACATCAAGGAAGCACATTTTCTTTTGTTTGTACTTTAAATTATGAATACAAACTTTGGACATAATCTATTTCATTAGAAAGGTTCGTGAGATAGTCTTACTTCCAATGAGCTAACTATCAATGTGTTGGGATCAAATGGTGCAAGTTCGACTGTGCAGGAGTTTGCATGCATTTGCACAAGTACTTTAAATTGTGACTTTGGTTGCAGACTTCTGTTCAGTTGCCGTCTGCTTAATTATAATGTGAAGCTTCTGTATTTAACATGTTGGTTTCTCATGACGGAGGGTGGAATCTTTTCCTCCAGCATTCTCTGGGAGCCTCGAGAGACAAATGCAGATGAATTGAAGTAGACGCGGGTGAAAAATAAAGGTTTTCTAAGTCTGGATGTGGTTGAGAATGAGCTGCCACTCACCATTAGGACGCTGGTGAGCGCAGACTGTGGGCAGAATAATGAATGGGATGACATTTTGAGAGAATGTCTCCTCTTCTAAATTATCCTTCCACTATACAGCCGGATTCAACTTTCAAATAATCAGAAGAGCTCAAGTGAGTTTTATTAAGATGACGTTAATAATCTCTGTTATTTTTGACAATGTCTGTCTCCTCTACTTTCTCCTCGAGAACAATCTTAGCACAGACTTAAATCTCATGAAATATTATAAAGCTCGGCTGAATTGGTTGATTGATTCCAAATAATTGAGTAAGAATTATCCAAAGACATTCATGGAGGAGGACAATGTGAAGTCACTCATTGGTGTGTTTGGTATTTTGTCTGTTACCATCTTGTTTTGAAGATATGATAGTCAAGTCAATGGTCAAATCATTAGCTGGCTAATTAGCTTGTTAATGACAGTGTATGCCACAGACAAAGCGTTGTACCAGGCGGTAAACAGGTTTATTTCTCCTGTAATGTTGCACATTTTAACATGGAGCTCAATGGGGTTCAACTCATTTTTGCAGTCAGCCCCAAGTGGCCACTCTCTGTATTGCAGTTTTTGACACTTAATGCATTCACTTATTTTTTTTATGTCTGAGGTTGCTTCTTGATATCTCCGTGCATGTCAGCATCTTTCTCTGATTTAAAAGGTAACCTCTCTTTTCCCTCCAGGTGGACCCAATGTTCATGGTGCCAGCGCCCCCTGCTCCAGGCCACCCCGGGGCCCCTGGATCCTCTTTGCCCTTGCCCCCCTCTTTCTCCTCTCCGGCCCTGCCCACCTCCAACCCAAAACAGCTGGTGGTGAGGACGAGGTCTGTAGGCACCAACACCCAGGATGGAGGCGGCTCAGGAGCTCTGGAGGCAGACACGGCCTGCCTGGGGCCATGTCAGCCCGGGACCAGCGTCAACCTGGAGGGCATCGTCTGGCATGAGACGGAGGAAGGTAAGGAGAACAAAATACACTGTTTTCTGACTGGTGAATCCTCTGATAAAGCGTGACAGGAGGTGAAAGTGACACCAAGCTGCGGTGAATAGATATATTTGTCCTGCACTTTATCCTTTCAGGGACATTTTGTATTCTTCAGTTAATCAGATATCCTGATGTTTGAGTAGTCAGAAGACTAGAAAAGTGCTATCCAAGCTCAAGTCCATTTACCGTTTACTATTGTCAAACATGAAAGAAAATGTAGCCATGCATGTGTTGTATTAGGACGTTATGTACTAAAGGTAACCATGCTCAGGCCCGGTTAGTCCTGGAGCAGTGTGAGTGCAGGCCAGCGGGGACTGCGGGGGGGGGGGGGGCAACCTGGCTTCTGCACGATACCTAGTGTGAGTGCACCCTGAGTCAGTTTTAAAGCTACTTAATGAAACAATCAACTGTAGCAATTCCTAGTCGTTTGAGTTATTTAGACTAAAATATATGAATAAAAAGACACTACGTTAAAACAGGAATATTGCATGACACTTTAAACATGCTATGGTATTTTTAGTGTGTGTGTGTGTGTGTTGAAGTCAGCAGGCGTTGAATGTCTGAGTGTGAGCTGTGGAGAGTCTGAAGTGTCAAACGTGGGTAAATAAAATGGTGTGTCGCGGCTCAGTGAAAGCAGAGATGGTGGAAACACATCAGCAGCATCTCTGATCTGCTGGCTCGACTTCCCTCTGACAAAAGACTTGATCCGCCTTGATGTTTGGAGAAGCCCAGATTTACTCCTCACTGCTCTCCGTCAGGTGCAGCATTTCTTTTACTTCTTGTCACATTTGAGGATTAATGTTGTGCACATCTCTTTGTGAACTTTAAACACAGTAAACAGAGCGACAGCCAGAGATGAGAGTGTTTTTACTGAGTGCATTCAGAGTTCAAACGGCCATTTCACCCTAATTCCCCGGGATGTTTGAAGATGCAGGTGCAGGTTTGCAGCTAATGGTTTGTTTTGGTCCTGCTCATTATAACTAAAGGTGGTGCAGTTTGCAGGCTGTAATTGGAGGCTCTTTATTTAGAGGCTTTGAAAAGGACGGCTTGTGAATTTCTGGCAGCTCCAGGGGAAACAGACTTTTTCTTTCTCTGCAGCAGTAGCTTTTGTATTTTCCTGTTCGGTGACTTTGACTCCCGCTGTGAGGCGTTTTTACACACTGCATAGTTTTTTTCTGTCGTGCAGTATTTCCTCACATCGATGCGAATAATGACAACAATATTTTAATTCCACTCAGCTCTTTGTTACATGACTTAAGAAAAGCCCTGCAAGCCTTTGAGTGCAACCACTGATTTCCATTTGAACAAAATAGTCATTCATAGTTCAATACTCCACCATCAACAGTCTGAATAGGGCTAAAGAAACCGTTCCGTGTTAAACCATTTGCACTCTTATAATAATAATAAATAATAAGAAACTCTGGACTACTCAGCTGCAGTACAAGAAGATTTACTGGTAGCTTCGATCCCAGGTAGCCCCGCCCTGACTCCCCAGCTCTCTATAGCCCAATTTTCGGTTCACATTTATTGGCGTTTCCACTGTCAAAAGTTGGGAAGAGGACCAAAATAACTGATCGTATCGCCCTACTTTTTTGGTAACCTTCTGTTCAGGGTCCAAGCGTACAGATCCGACCCTAAAGGTTGAAGCGAGACACACTGCAGTCCGTTTGGAGAGAGTCATTTCAAGGCTGTTTTTTTTTTGGTTGTTTTTTTTGCAACTATTGTCAGCGCGTAGCTCCGCCCCAATGGACAACCTCAGAGATGCAGACCTTTCTAGGAATCAGTGATTTATATTCCTGTGTCACCTTCTTCTTCTTTGTTGAATTTATTGGCTGTCTGCACTCTGTCATGCCGCTGTGATTGAGTGATGTGTACGGGTACGTCTGGCCATGGAAACGCAAGCAAGGTCAGGGTTTACAAACCAAATCAGCTTCATTTTTCAACACAAGTTTCAACAGGTCGCCAGTTTTTTTTCAACCCCTACTGACGGCTCTTTTCTTGATATAAAATAAATGCAGGTAGCTGAGCTGTTGGTGTGCACGCCCCATGTAAGGAGGCATCGTCCTCAAGGCGGGCAGCCCAGGTTCGAAACTGACCAGTTGATCCTTTCTTGAAAGCCATTTCAATTTATTTTGTTGCTGTGGCATCAAAACAGGGATCCATATTATTTGACTAGAATCATATTGAATGTTTGGGATACAGTGTAGCATCGACGATCACAACAAAAATAAATAAAATACAGGACAAAAGGAGGAGAATAATACGATGACACTGCACTGTGTGTCGACAAGATGGAGTCTAACAGCCGAATATTTCCACAGCGTTGCCTCCTTAAAGATCCTGTTCGGAGCCGGTTTGGTTAATTAAAGCTTGGCGTGCTTATGACCGTGGTGCGGGTTTGAAAAACATATGCCAACCGAACAAACGCGGTTCTTATCGTTCCCATGCCAGACACTTTCCAAGCAAATAACACCAAAACCCAGTTTTATTTTTAAAGACGACTGGTTATCCTCAAAAGAGCTGTTCTGGCGCCAAGCTGCACGCTTTCACGAGTCCAAAACGAGAAGGAAATCAGAACCAGAATCCGGTCCAGATCTACAAAATGGTACCATGAGAGCACCGGGCGGCGGATCAGACAGACCCATGATTCACCCACTGATTTCGACGCCATGGTTCTTTGATAGTCCGTTAACGAGGACAGCGCTCAGCACGGCGGCCTCTCAGCGGAGGTGTAATACCTTACTGCAGGCTGCTAATGAATAAATCCCGTCTCTGTGTGCCCGTCTCGCTCTGCCAGCCGCAGGGCCTCTGAAGTGGAGTGGGGAGTTTGGCGAAGAGGCGTTTGTTTCCCGGCCCGGTATTAATTAACTGAAACAACACTCACTCAGCTCTGGCAAAAATAAAACAGGAGGAGAAGAAGGAGAAAACAAACACAACGCAGGGGAATATATCTGAGGCACAGAGTGCTTCTGAAAACAGGCCGCAGCGATGGAGAGAGGAGAGACAGAATAATCCGTCTTCTGCTTCAGACTCTCAAAGAGAAAAACAAAATCTCCTCCAAACGTTGCAGTGAATACACTTCAAGTAAAGTGAATTATAATGTTTCAGTGCAGAGTTTGACAATCTCGATAAGCACATTTAGCTCACAGATTCTGTAAAAAAGCTTGTTCTGCGTCCCATCCCTAACCAAAAAATGTCCCCGTCTATTGCACTCATATTTGATCTTAAGAATTAAAACACAGGAGTGAGCATATCGCCTCCTCCATGCAGGAAATACCTGCACAGAGGAAACATCAAAGCGACACGTTTCCAGGTTTTTTAAAAGAAGAAAGATGTAGCAGCAGCCTCAGAGAGGAGACGCAGAGGAACAGGATACAGAAATAACACCAAAGAGAAAGCAGGGGGTTTTTTTTATGAAGATACAAAGAAGTACAAGAGCAAATAGTAACATGCAGCAGCAGAATGTGGAGGGAGAGTCTGCATAGCGACGGGAAAGAAAAGGTGTGAGAAAATAAATTCTTAACATGCTGGCAGGATGGACAGATGGACGGATGAGAGAGTGAGAGAGGAGAGAGACGGACAGAATGGCAACACAGGTTTTTGTCTGTTAATCACCTGGGGATGGAGAGGAGGAGAGAGGAATGAAAAAAAGGGATCATTTGCGATGCATCAGAGCAACAAAGAGAGTCGAGAGTAGTTTGTTTCTCTTTGTCTTTTTCTTCCTCCCTCCCACTCGGGACTATCTCTGAGGAGCGGGGGATAACAGGAGCCTCCTCCTCCTCCTCGTGACGGCGGAGGGATACGCGAGGATGGAGGATGCTGCATGCATGTTAATTAAGCAGAATACTAATTGGAACGACAGAGAGGAGGAAGAGGACACCACCATTTCAGATTAAGAACCCCCACCCCCGCTCCTCCTCCTCCTCCTCCTCCTCCTCCTCTCCTCCCCGCAGGAGACCACAGTCTGATGAGAGCTAATCAGACGGTGATTGGCGCGACAGTCTGACTTTAAGACAACCTGCCTGTCTGTCTGTCAGCGACAAAGATGTGAATAACTTTGATTTTGCATCTCCAAAGAAATTAAAAGATAATTTGTAATGAGGGGAAAGAAGCTTACATCTGTTGTTTTTCTCTTGCACATAAAGGAAGAATGTGCGACTTTATGATCCAGTAGATGTCGCCCCTTGAGCTCCAGCATGAAATCAAAACAAACTGCTGTTAGGCCACACCTCCTCCATACTGAAACCTCCGCTCTCCTCCAGAGACACTCCTCCAACCTCTCTCCTCTCGCGTTCTCATGAAGGAGTCAAGCACAAGCTGTAATCACCTGTGTGCTGCACTGTTGTGGTTTGCATGCTAATGGTAGCGCTCTTTAGTTAGCTCGTGGCTTCTCGTTGCATTGTAAAAAACGCTTACGTGACATCCGAATAATCAAGTCCTGCACGTTTGATTACGTGAGCATGGAGCGTGGAATCGCCACTGTGACATCGTGGCCGAATCGTCCAGTTTCTTTTCTTCAGAGATTATGTTCAACATCGGCTGAACGTCTGTGGTCTCCTTGGTTAAGACTTGAAAAATCATCTAGCGTGTAGCGTAGCGTCGTGCACAATAAATGTCAGTGACAGTGCACACAGACCGGGCTCGCTTCAGAAAACTGCAAACAATGCAGCAGCAGAAAAAAAAATCAATGGGAGGATGTTTAAAGTGCAGAGAAGCTGTGCTGAAGGATGAAGGCTGGCTTTGACTGTTAAAAGAGTCCCTCTCTGACAGAGTGTGTTCGAGAGGTGAAGCACAGAGAGGAACTTCTCGTGTGACCCGACTGAACCGACTCGCAGGGTTTGATGTTGCTGACCGAGTTCAGGAGAGAGAATCAGCACAGAGGCTGTAAAAGAAACATCTTATAGGAGGAATAAATGTGAACTTTGAGGGGGAAGACATTGATTTTTTTGAGGAAGGAGGCAGAGAGGGAACATTTTATTCTTCTCTGATCTTAACAAACAAACCCTGACGTCACAGATGCTCCCGTTGTTGGTTCAAGGACTTTATGATGACTGCAATTCTCTCCTTTAAAAAAATATGTGTTTGTTTTAACCGTGTGGAGAGACAATCAGCCTCTCCTCAGACCGCAGACTGGGAGTTTATTCACAGGCTCAAACCGACTTTGAAGGATTTTGAATGTCGCACAAGTTTAGAGGAACACGGTCCTGACGTGAACACGCACTCAGAGATGACAGAGATGAAAACTGATGAGCTATCGAGTGTTTTGGCATCTTCCCAAGACGAGTCACGCTGACTAAAAATAGAAAGGCTGTCACGTTTTTTTAAGCCCAGTGAAGCTTTAGGGAACACGAGGGAGGAGAAGAAAAACCTCCTCTGACTCCTGCTGGGACTTTCGATCCTGCACAGTCATCGACATGAACTGAAATGAAGTTAAAGGTCTCGAAAAGTCAGAAAATGTCGTTTAAGAAGTGATGGAAATGAGTATGGATGGCGTTGTTGTACAGGAGGTTTTAAGGTATGTTTGTCTAGTTGTTCTTTCCTGTCACTCTGCTGTGGACAGGGAGAAAAGCATGAAGGCATGAAACTGACAAATAAACCAAATCTTGACATTTCTGCAAATGATGTGACTTTGGTCTAAAGGCATTTGCACACCGAGTCCGTTTTCTTCAGATGCGTTTTTTAAATCCGCAAAGACACCCTGCACAGCACACACTGCGTTTATTTTTCCATTTATTGTGAAAATTTGCAATATGAGACAAAATACAAGATATAAGAACATATGTATGTGAATCATGTCCTGGCCCAAGCAACAGTGCTGGAAATTCTACCCTCAGAAAGACGAGTCAGGGCGGTGACCAATTCAAAGTTTAGAGGCTGTGGGGGCCGTCCAGGTCTGATTCCGACCTGTTGACCCTTTCTTAAATAATTGCATAAAAAGCCTAAACATAAATCTTATATAATCTTAAATAAAAACGCATAGGCGTTGCCATGTCATTGACGCTGACGCTTCAGTGTTTATCCAGCTCTGCATGGGTCTGTAAACCTTTCTGTGTTCTAACCTCTCTCCATTTTTCAAAAGCATCTCCAATATTGATCCTAGTTTGAGCACGTTTCTGCTCGTGGAGCTTATTAGAAATCATACTGCCTTGGTCTTGGTCTTGACTCGGTCTCGATCCCTACATGTCTTGGTCTCGGGTATGACTTGGTCTTGAGTATGTCTTGGTCTCGGTTAATGTGGTCTTGACTAAAACACTAGATTAAACGCTTCCAAAATGTGATTTGCTCTGCGTTGCTTATTGCGCATCACAAAACAGAGGTTAATGGTTTTCAAATGTCAGAATGAGAGAAAGAGAGAGAGAGAGAGAGAGAGAGAGAGAGGGGGGCGTTTATCTCTGAGAGCCAAGTCCTCAGATTAAACCTTGAACACTTCACATCCAGCTTTAAACTACTGGAACAGAGGACTGAAGTTACCTTCTGTGATGTTTCTGACAAAGATCGGTGTGAGGGATACATTCACTGAGTTGAACAAACATGTTGAACCATTTTCAAGACAATTTGAGTCTCTTTAAATGTTCAGTCCATCAGTCTGCTGCAGCTTTACTTTCCAAACTGCTGCTGCTTCAGACGTCTACTAATCAGAAGGATTTCCCTCTCGTAAACTTTTTCATTAGTGAGCATTTGTCTGTTATCAGAGTTTCATTAGTTTTCTCATTAGAACAAAGACGGGAGAATCTTCTCTGAGCTGCACAGGCTGATATATGCGACGCAATAAAGTGCAACAAAAGGTTTCGAGCCTCTCTCACAGTCAGGGTTGGAGATGTTTGAATCTGTTGCAGCTGTTTTTTGTCTTTTCTTTGAATTATATAAAATAACTTTAGCACAAAAAAGATCTTAAAATACATGGAACTCTTTGCAGCAGTTTCACAGTTAATTTCATGCAGCAACACTGGATTAAAGTCAGTCCTGAACCAGGTGTTGTTTTGTGACCTCTGCATTTTTACACTGATTTAAAAAATCTGTTTTTATTCTGACATGTTCCACATAAATAAATCATAAATCAAGTCTATCTTGTGTAAATGTGTCTCTGAGTCATGACTGTCTACAATGAGTGAGAAGCTCGAGTCATGCTGGCTCCTCCCCTTGTGTATAAAAGCTGTTTCAGTAGAGAGAAGAAGAACATAGTCACTGATTATTTGGATGTTAGTAAGAGTTTTTAGATCTCCGTCATTCTTTGTCAATTTACATGCAATGTGAAGCGACAAGCTAACTAAAGAGCGCTAACATTAGCATGCTAACACAACAATGCAGGACACGGGTGATTGCAGCTCGAGCTGAGGACGATTTTGTCCGCCTCTTGTGCGAGACTCCTCCGCTCGTGCTCGAGTCGAGGGGGCGACATCTACTGGATCAAAAAGTCGTGCCTTCTTCCTTTAAGACTAACTGCAGTGTTTCTGTCCTGTGTGATTGACAGGTGTGCTGGTGGTGAACGTGACTTGGAGGAAGAGAACCTACGTGGGAACTTTGTTAGACTGCACCAAACACGACTGGGCTCCTCCAAGGTAAAAAAAACCATTACTGAATACTTCATTTTCTTTGCATTTACTGTATGTTTGTCCACAGGTAACATCCACCTTATAAAACACATTATAGCTTATTGGGCTTTCTTTAAAAAATTCTACAATTTCTCTTTTTGTCCACTTGATCGCTAAATGAGCTGAGTTTAGATTCACACCTGATGGAGATGGAGATACCTTGGAAATGCATTTCAGTTTTTTGCAGATGACGAAGCAAACAACATCAGTTTCTTTTGTAAGTCAGCTGGGCTCGGAGATCTTTGCTGATCTTTGTGGAGCTCAGATTAGAGCTGCTGCTTTGAGCCTTAGATCAGAATCCGTCTGGTTGCCTCCCTTTGAGCCTTCAGACTGGTAGAGGACTCAGGGTTAGCCCAACAGCTTGCAGGAGGGATTATACATGGTTTGGCCCTGTAATGCTTTGGGGAACCCCAAGGAGAAGCTGGAAATCGTTGCTGGTGGGAGTGACGTCTGGAACACCTTGTTCAGCATGCTGCCACCACAAACACTTCCTGGATAAGGGAAAGAGAATGATTGATGGCACAGCTTCCTGTTTGGTGGCACACTTCAACATTTGGTGATGTATTATTTCCGTTGTTAGGAGTTACAGCTGACGCTACCTAACTAAAATTACTGAAATACAAACACGACCTGTGGACATGCACTAATGGAGAGATGTGAGGCAGCTGCTACACAGGGAGCACGCTAGAGCTGTTGGGGGTTTGGTGCCTTGCTCAAAGGCAACTCAGCAGTACTCGTGTAGTGACCTAGCACCTCTCCAGCTACCATATCAACTTCCATATTTTAGTCCGGACGAGGACTTGAACAAGCCACCCTCCAGTTCCCAACCCGAGTCCCTACAGACTGAGCTACAGCCTACAATTCTACAATTCTACAATTCACTTAGCAGACGCTTTTATCCAAAGCGACGTACATCAGAGAGTAAGTACAACACAAGCAAGGAGCTAGAAAAAAGGGAACAATGTGAGTAAGAGCAAACGATCAGCTTTGAGTCCCATAGGACACACAGGTGCTGACAGGAAGTGACCAGAGGCACAACATTGACAGCAGTTCTTGAGAGCTCTAATCAGTATAGAAACCATCTTATAAGTCATCGTTATCAAACAAAAACCATCATCACAACCATCATCATCATCAATAATATGGAGACCATCATCATTAAGTTAGTAGGTATTCATGAGCTGGGTCTTTAGCTTTTTCTTAAAGGTACAGAGGGACTCTGCAGATCCAATGGAGTTTGGAAGTTCATTCCACCACCGGGGGGCGCCAGAGGAGAAGAGTCTAGTCAGAGACTTAGGACCCTGTTGTGAAGGCGCAGTCTAGGCCTGTGAAGGCTGTTTCGTCATGAGCTGGGGATCTGGCCGAAGATTTCTGCCTTTTAATAAGGCAGTTTTTTCTTACCACTGTAACTTTTGCTGCTTTGCTAAAGTGCTCATGATGGATAGGCCGGGTCTTTGTAACATAACAATTAGTAAGGTCTTTTTACGTGCTCTTTTGTAATGTTAACAGACAAAGAGTAAGGTATTTTACCTGCTTTTCTCAAGTGTCTTGAGATAAAACTTGTTATGAGTTGACGCTATACAAATAAATTGAATTGAACTGAATTGAAGGTTGGATCAGACGCCTTTCATTGGCAGAGCGTAGTGGGTGGGAGGGAGTGTAGACCTGGATGACAGAGTTAAAGTAAGGAGGAGACGTTTTTGTCGCTGTTTTGTAAGAGAGCAGCAGAGTTTTAAAATTGATGCAAGCCTCTGAATTCTTAATTCAAACTTTAAAAGCAGGTTTGGCAGGTCACTCGTGGCCTAGTGGTTAGTGCATGCGCCCAATGTACAGAGGCTGTAGCGGGCGTCCTGTCTTTAAAACCTACCTCTCAGATAAATCCCTACTGCTCCTGATTTCTGTCTTTACCCGCTGTCTTGTGTCGACAATAAAGGAAAAAAATGCCCAAAAATAAATCTTAAAAAAAAAAAAAAACAGGTTGGAATTTGATTTGCTCGACACATCGCCGCAGGGCAACGCAGAGTAAAAACAATTAGGACACAGTTCTATTTTTGACGACAAGCAACACTTTAATTTGATGCTTTCCTCTGTTTGTCTTGATATAAGGCAGCATTGTTTGACGCCTCGCACATGTCAGACGGTGACATCGGGTTTGAAATGAGTCTGATTCTAACTGTAAACATTTTAATGACAGGTTTGTCTTTATTGTTTTCATCTCATTTCTGCTGGCCTGATTTCCCTGTCTGATCATTTTTTAACCATTGTTCCTCTTATTGGTTATTATTTGCTGCTGATTGCTTATTTGATTAACTGAAAAGAGCCATAACTGTCGGTCTCTTTAATGTTGCTTCAATTACCAGAAGGCTCAATCGTCTGCAGCGCTGTCAGCTGTTGTTCCGTGTTGAGCTTTAACAAAGAGGCGCTCTGCTTCCCAACTGTTTTACTAATGGAGAGGGGCTCCTTTTTGTAATTGCTGAGCGGAAAATGTGACTGTGTCTCTCACAGGGCTGAAACCTCTCAATTATTGCTCCTGCATGTAAATGATTGTTGTCATGGCAATTACAGCTTAATCTCTGCAACCAGGGACTAAATTGCTTTTTTTTTCATTTGGACTCTCGCCTCCGCGGACGTCCGTCAGTGGAGACTGAATGCTGTTTCTTTTTCTGATGGTTCTTTATCTGTCATTGAAAGAAATCTCAACGATAAAAAGATGTAATTATTGAACCAAAGGAAGCAAGAAATATAACAAGCACATCAGGAAAACTGTCTGAGATAATTAACGGGCTTGATATTCAGTTTTAGGAGGGGAATTGTGGGAAATGATCTGGACTAAATCACTCATCCATCCATCCATCCAGCAATGTTTTCCAGCTCCTCCAGGGGCTTCAGAGGCGTTTCAAGGCTAGACGAGATATATAATTCTTCCAGCGAACTCTGGGTCTACCCCGGGGTCTCCTCCCAGTTGGGCCTGCCTGGAAAACCTCCAAAAGGGAGGCGTCCAGGAGGATCCTAATCAGATGCCCGAACCACCTCAGTTGTCTCCTTTCGATGCAAAGCTCTACTCTGAGCTCCCTCCGGATGTCTGAGCTCCTCACCCTTTCTCTAAGGCTGAGCCCAGACATCCTCATGAGGAAACTAATTTCGGCCTCTTGTATCCGCCATCTTATTCTTTTGGTCACTACCCAAAGCTCATGACCACAGGTGAGGGTTGAAGCAAAGATCGGCCGGTTAAATCTAGAGCTTTGCCTTCAGGCTCAGCTCCCTCTTCACCACAATAAACACCCACATTACTGCTGACACTGAGCCAGTCTTTCTGTCAATCCTGCGGTCCATCCTACCCTCACTCGTGAACAAGACCCCGAGCTAAATCATTCAATCGGTCAAATTGTCTCCAAAAGAGGTACCAAATAGCCTTGAAATGCCAGAGAAAATACATGAAATCCTGCAATTTTACTGACATTCAGGGCCACGCTGACGGTGAAAAAAGCAATTACAAACATCAGAGCAAATGTGAGATATCATCGTTTAAAAAACACAGAGGGAGTCCAGCCTCGACGTGCTCTGCAGTCCGTTCCTTTAATCAGGTGATTAACACCCGAAACAGTCTTTCCAAGGTCAGGATTTGTTCCAGGAGTATTTAACACCGAGCCGTCCCTGTGATGTAGTTTAGTAATTAATGCATTAACAGGCCAGCTCACGTGCAAAGATCAGGTTCCTTTAAAACAGACTCTTACTCTGCAAGTAAACACAAAGCAATGAAATCTCTTCATCCCAGCACGCAGGTTTCTGATAAATAATGTGCGAGTGTGGAAAAGCATCTCAGTGTTCAGATCAGTGTCTCTGGTGAACAGCATCAAAAGACTTCAAAGTAGAAGGAACGGCATGTGAATACAAAATGTCTTAGTATCAAATGCAGAGATAAAAACAGATTGTACAGTTTTTTTTAGTGTTATAGAGAGATAAGAAAGCTTTGTACTGAAAGAAAATCGTCTTTGTCTGCCTCAGCGTCTCGGTAAAGTGTTCCACATGAGCCTTGAATGATAATCTGTTCTTTTTTTTGTCTGATGGTACAAAAGTTCAGCTGAGGTGAAGATGTGAACACGTTGTTCTTCAGTAAAACACTTTTAAAGAAATAACCTTCAGCTTCATTGTCTTTCTTCTTTTTATCCAGTAAAGCATAAAAACTTTCATAAACTTGATGCAACACAATGGAAGGTAAGAAGATAAGATTAGATTTTTCAGGACATGAGTTGTTACAAAAAGATGCAATACAGTGAAATATGATTTACCACAATGTAAATAATACAGATATAATGACCAGTGTGTGGACTAATGCATTACTAAGTAACATATTATTGAAACACCACTACTATTTGCATCAACGATTCTATCAATCATTATTTGTAAAGCGGCAATTCATTGCGACACAGTCCGATGGTGGAGGCTGGGCGTACAGCTGGTGGTTGGGACGACACGGTCTGATGGTGGAGGCTGGGCGTCAGCTGGTGGTTGGGACGACACAGTTTGATGGTGGAGGCTGGGAGTCAGCTGGTGGTTGGGCATCAGCTGGTGGTTGGGACGACACAGTCCGATGGTGGAGGCTGGGCGTCAGCTGGTGGTTGGGACGACACAGTCCGATGGTGGAGGCTGGGCTTCAGCTGGTGGTTGGGACGACACAGTCCGATGGTGGAGCTGGGCGTCAGCTGGTGGTTGGGACGACACAGTCCGATGGTGGAGACTGGGCGTCAGCTGGTGGTTGGGACGACACAGTCCGATGGTGGAGGCTGGGCTTCAGCTGGTGGTTGGGACGACACAGTCCGATGGTGGAGACTGGGCGTCAGTTGGTGGTTGGGACGACACAGTCCGATGGTGGAGACTGGGCGTCAGCTGGTGGTTGGGACGACACAGTCCGATGGTGGAGGCTGGGCTTCAGCTGGTGGTTGGGACGACACAGTCCGATGGTGGAGACTGGGCTTCAGCTGGTGGTTGGGACGACACAGTCCGATGGTGGAGGCTGGGCGTCAGCTGGTGGTTGGGACGACACAGTCCGATGGTGGAGACTGGGCGTCAGCTGGTGGTTGGGACGACACAGTTTGATGGTGGAGGCTGGGAGTCAGCTGGTGGTTGGGCATCAGCTGGTGGTTGGGACGACACAGTCCGATGGTGGAGGCTGGGCGTCAGCTGGTGGTTGGGACGACACAGTCCGATGGTGGAGGCTGGGCTTCAGCTGGTGGTTGGGACGACACAGTCCAATGGTGGAGGCTGGGCGTCAGCTGGTGGTTGGGACGACACAGTCCGATGGTGGAGACTGGGCGTCAGCTGGTGGTTGGGACGACACAGTCCGATGGTGGAGGCTGGGCTTCAGCTGGTGGTTGGGACGACACAGTCCAATGGTGGAGGCTGGGCTTCAGCTGGTGGTTGGGGCGACACAGTCCGATGGGGAGGCTGGGCCTCTGGCGGTTTTGGGACGACACAATCAGATGGTGGTGGCTGGGTGTTAGGCGGTGGTTGTGGAGATGACACATCTGACATTACCCAACAATCGACTGTGGCAACAAATGTGCTAAAGTCTGAGCTAATCTAGTGTGTCCACCTCATTTAGAAAAACCCAAATATGAGAACTTATTTAACACTGTACAATGCAGCGTTGTAGAGTGGAAAACATACATTGCCCCGATCCTTGGTCTTGTTTGAGTTGTCAGCCAATTGTCCAAGAATCCCATTGTATGATGGTTTTATGGTAATTTCTTTTGTGTCCTTCTACATCCATAGACGTGTATCAAATGGATATCTTTTAGCATAATTACATATTGCATTTAAAGAACAAGACTCAACAAAAGACATGACATTTCACAATCTGTCTCATGTAGGAAGCATTTCCAGGCTACCACAAAGAGATCTCTTCTAAATCTGTTGTTTTTTCTCCTTTCTGCCCAGGTTTTGTGAGTCTCCCTCCAGTGACCCTGAGTTGCCAGGGGGCCGTGGCCGGGGGAAAAGGATGCGAATGGCCATGGCCGAGCGGCCCTGCATTGAACCGGCCCCTTCTACAAAAGTCAGAGGTTTATCACAGCACAGGAGCCGTGGAGGTGGTGTGGCTGGAACTGCTGCTCCCCTCCACAGCAAGGGACGGAGAGGAAGCCTGAACCTCATCAACAGCAACTGCCGTGCGACTCCTTCTTTCTTCACTGTGGATGACGTGAAACCCACAAACAGCACCTCCTCTCTCTCCTCAGGGAAGAGAAAGAACAAACCGCCGGCTGAACTTGACCTCAGCTTGGTCTCCTCTGAAGACATTAAAAACGGGAACGGTAAGAGGATCCGAGCCAAATCCCGCAGTGCCCCATCCACACCGCAGGGCAAATCCGACCCCTCGTTCATGGACCCTGGAGGAGGTTGTGCCTCCTCACCACCTCCCCCACCCATCCTAATTGACTGCCCCCACCCCAACTGCACTAAACGGTACAAGCACATCAACGGCCTGCGCTACCACCAGACACATGCACACCTGGAGACTGAGGAGCAGAGAAAGCCTGAGCTAGAGCCCTCCAAGGATGTGGAGGGGGACGATCGACTGTCAGACTGTGAGGACTCAATAGGCAACTTGACATATGACCTCTCTGAAACAAACAGCGGTAATGCAAACAGTTCCTCCAAGAAACCTGCTCCTCTTTATAAGGTGACCACAGTTGGGTCTCCTAAGAACAGGCGGTTGCTCTTAAGTACCGACCACAGCCCCACAGCCAACTCCAAGACCAGAAGAACCTCACTGCTGAAAGATGGCCTGATTGATGATCTTAGCAATCTGCCCATCATCTCCAACATGACAGTAGTTCTGGAAAACTGCATGGTCCCAGACAGAAACTCAATGGTGGAGATGCCCAAGCTTGAAGCTGAAGGTTTGATTGATAAAAAAGGAGGTGCATGTGACAAAGGCAAAAAAGCCAACGGGAAGGTGGACAAATTGTCCAAGTCACGAACAAACAGGCTGATTGCCCCAGCACCTGCTCCACCAAAGCTGATAGCCATACCCAATACAGGATATCCAACTGGCACAGCAGACAGTGCTACCTCACAGCAGCCCTCACCAATGGCAGCAGTAGGCCTGACGAGTAAAAACCTTCCACTGAAACCCATCAAACCAAAGCTGAACATCGTCGTTGAACCCAACCTCGTCAAAGCCACCCTGGTTACCTGCAGCAAAGAGACCAGGAAGAAAGAGAAACGGCGGCTGAAGGACAAACATAAAGATCTGCCGACCAGGACACCTAACTGTGACAATGGAATCAAACTGGAAGATGGTGGTGGTTCTAAAATGGGCATCAAGGAAATCTCTGGAAGCCTTCTGAAGGAGCACCTCAGTAAGCAGGATGTAATGAATGGACTCACTGAGAGCCAGGAGAGCAGGATGGCCAGCATTCGAGCGGAGGCTGACAAGGTCTACACCTTCACAGACAATGGTCACCCAGTCCCTTCCATTGGTGGTTCATCACGGCTTGACGCCAGCGGTGGTTGCGTGGTCACTGCAGACAACAACAGTAAAAATAACAGCCCTGCCTACTCTGACATCTCAGATGCCGGGGACGATGGAGGATCTTCCGAATGTCGCTCAGATGGAATAAGGTCCAAGTCCGGCTCCTCCACCTCTTCAGAGGTGAGCTCAAACTGTAACCATGGTAACTCTGGTAAAACACCACCCACAGCACCTGCCCCAACATCAAAAGACCCCCAATCCCCGTACTACCACAGCTATGACCCCTACTACCTTCAGGGGTACATGCAGTCGGACAGGTCAAACGGTAGCAGTGTTGCTTTCCACAAAAATTCTGCCCTGGATGGAAAAGGGAAAGACAGAAAGGAAGAAGTGAAAGAGGATGACAAATGCTCTCCCCATGAGTTTTCAGACTCTAAGAAAGGCGATGGGCCTCCTCAGTCCCAGCTCCAGCTGGCGATGAGTCAGACTCAGACTGCTTTGGCCCAGTCGCTGTACTACGGCCAGTACTCTAGAGGACTGTATATGGACCAGAAGTTGTTACTGGGCTCCAAATGCTGTGACCAGACTCACAGTGGCAAGCAGAGGGGCGACAGAGGACAGGGGATGAGGGACAGTGAGGAGGATAAAAATATGGTTGGGTGTTCAGGTGGTGGATCGATGCTAGGTAAAGGTCCAGATGGTGCTAAAGGTTGCTGCGCAAAACCAGTCCTGTCCTACGTGGAGTTGAGTGAGAGGGTAGAAAGGGGACAGAGTCTGGGCATGAAGGCAGCGCACAGTGGCATGGTGGACCAGCACCAGGTCTCGATGAAAGACTGTGATGACATCAAGTCATCGTCCTCTTCCTCTTCTTCATCACTCCACAACCAAAACATTCAGACAGATCTGGACTCAAATGTTTCCTTTTCCAGTGTAAGTTTCTCCCTCTGTCTATAACCTGCCGCCGCCGATGATGGTGTTGTTGGTGTGCTTTAATATCTGTTGCTGAGTGTCAAGAGATTGATCACACATTGTGCTCAGACAAACAAGTAGGTGCTAACAACAAAGACCATGTGGCTTCTGTGGTGCTGTAGCTCTTTAGTCATTTTGGTTAAAATCAAATTTCGGTGGTTTGATGGAAACTTTTATTTATATTTTTTAGAGTAATGTCGAAAATGTAACCTTTAAATGTTAAATATAAAGAACAAAATATTTCTAATACATTAGTGATGGTTTTGATATGAGCTGCTTTTTTTGGACAAAGCTTGTACATATTTTTAACCATGTCATTTCATGATGCAGTTAACCACTAACTCTAGCTATGCTGGGCCGTCTAACCGGATGAATGAATTGAATGAAAGCCGTTATTGGGAGGTGGAGTTTTTTTCCTTTCAGTTTGTCCTAAATTCTGCAGTTGATCATGTATGAGACGTGACTCCATTCGTGTCATTGAGAGGGACACCACAATCCTCACATCCCACCTGTGAATGGCCGCCTGCTGTTGAAACGTCGTCATCCTTCATCAACATCACACCCAGAGCCAGTGATAGATGGTCTGTCTATGGTTCTGTTCACTCAAGTACACAGTGTTTCCTCTATAGTCGTTCAGCAGCGGTGGGCCACCGCCGCCAAGAAATTCTCCAACCCTGCTTAAAAGAAAATGCACAAATGAAATTCATGAAGTAGCCTTACTTTCTCTCCAAAACCCCTAAGCAGACAAACATTAGATTTGTAAATTAAAAACTCTGCAACTGGCAGGAGAAATTAAAACTGGGACAAAGACTGTGACCGAAGTTGAACTGACCCAAAAAAGACTCTCACCCACCACTGTTAACTAAAAATTATAGGGGAAACACTGCAACTCGCACCAACACTTGTCCCCATCGATCTAGCCCTCAGATGGCCTGGCCTGGGCTCACTGCCTGCCTCACAGCAAATACTCAGAGCTACAACATGGGGAGGAGGCCGAGGAGGGTGAAGTAGACAGGGGAAAGGAATGGGGAGCGACCATGGAGCCTGCCGGTGCTAAGATGACCTCTGGAGTAGGGCCTGGTGGAGAGAGAGGAGTGGGCCTTGGTGGGGATGTTAAAAAATCCAGGGTCCATGGATCCCTAGATCTCCAGCCCATCATCGACGCAGAGGATTCAGACAGGCTGGAGGCGCTGGATGATTCAAGCCAGGAGCCAATGGGAGGGCTCTCTGAGGAGTCCCAGAACGCCAGGGCCGCAGTGTCCCCCCCAATGACCCCCCAGCAGCCTTACATCCAGTACCAGCACTCCTCCTACCAGCCCTACCTGTCAATGTGTGAGAGTGGTGGAGGCTCCTACAGAGGTGTGTCCCCAACCCTGATCCACAACTACCCAGGTAAGAGTCAGAGTGAAGATATGGGTGTGCTACAGAATTAATTGAGAGATCGTTTGAGGAGAGGATCATGCCAACTCTCCAGATTTAGAACCATAGTAAGAGATATCGAGCTACAGCCAGCTGCTATTTGGAAAGACTGGAAACAGAGGGAAACAGCCAACCTTGCAATTTGAATATAGGTATAGTATATATAGTTAATCCTAGTTAAGGATTTTGGGGTTGCACCTGGGGTGGCCAATAAGATTTCAAGGCGGGCCCATGCGCCCACCCCTGGCCACATGTCTGCACACACCCCTGGTTGTACGGGTTGGAGGAACTCTTCTGATATTGGTAGAGCAAACAAAGGTTTTAAAACAGTCAACTGCTCTGTTTTTGATGTCTGTATAAAGTCACCGTATGTGTGTGTGTGTGTTTCATTATCTGTGGCTGCGTGTGTGTGTGTATATCTGTTTGTTTGTCCACCAGGTTTCCACTACCCTCTGTACGGTAAGACGGGCAGGAGGAGTCGGAGGTGACTCCGCCCAGCAGAGGGGAGCGGTGAGCAGCAAGCAGCAGAGCGTGACTCCTCCTCGTCCTCAGCCATGGAGCTGCTGCAGCAGCAGAGCCA